GTGCATTGTTACTTACAGTTTCTATTCTGTTTATGCCATGTATTAGGGCTCCTAGCATAGTCCCTATTTTTTCTTCCATGATCTTAATCATTTCCAATTTTATATTTAAGTCTTTGATCCAGTTTGAGTTAGTTTTTGTGCATGGTGTGAGGTATGGGTCTTGTTTCAGTTTTTTGCAATTGGATATCCAGGTTTGCCAGTACCATTCATTAAAGAGACTGTCTTTTCCCCAATTAATGGACTTTGGGCCTTTGTCAAATATCAGCTGCTTATAGGTGGATGAATTTATATGTCTGGATTCTCAATTCTGTTCCATTGGTCTATGTATCTGTTGTACCAGTACCAGGCTGTTTTGACTATGGTGGTGGTATAATAGGTTATAAAATCAGGTAGTGTGAGGCTTCCCACTTTGTTTTTCTTGAGTAATGCTTTACTTATCTGGGGCCTTTTCCCTTTCCATATGAAGTTGGTGATTTGTTTCTCCATCTCATTAAAAAACGCCATTGGAATTTGGATCGGGATTGCATCGTATTTGTAGGTCGCTTTGGGTAGAATTAACATTTTCACTATGTTGAGTCTTCCTATCCATGAGCAAGGTATGTTTTTCCACTTATGCAGGTCTCTCTTGGTTTCTTGCAGTAGTGTCTTGTAGTTATCATTGTATAGGTCTTTTACATCTCTGGTTAGATTTATTCCTAAGTATTTTATCTTCTTGGGGGCTATCGTAACTGGTATTGATTTGGTGATTTCTCTTGGAAGCTCTTTTTGTCAGTTTAAAGGAATCCAACTTATTTTTGTGTTTATCTTGTATCCTGATACTTTGCTGAAATCTTCTATTAGTTCCAGTGGTTTTCTTGCAGATTTTTGGGGTTTTCTGTGTATAAGATCATATCATCTGCAAATTGAGATACTTTTACTTCTTCCTTACAGATTTGAATACCCTTTTTAATTTCTTTTTCTAGCCTAACTGCTCTGGCTAGGACCTCCAGCACAATGTTGAATAAGAGTGGTGATAAAGGGCATCCTTGTCAAGTTCCCGTTCTCAAGGGGAATGCTTTCAAACTGTCTCCATTTAGTATGATGTTGGCGGTTGTTTTTGTATAAATGCCCTTAATTATGTTGAGCAATTTCCCTTCTATTCCTATTTTACTGAGAGTTTTTATCATAAATGGGTATTGGACTTTGTCAAATGCCTTTTCTGCATCGATTGATAAGATCATGTGGTTCTTTTGTTTTATTGATGTGATGGATTACATTGATTGTTTTTCTTATGTTGAACCATCCCTGCATACCTGGTATAAATCCCACTTGATCATGGTGAATTATTCTTTTGATATGTTGCTGAATTCTATTGGCTAGAATTTTGTTGAAGATTTTTTGTGTCAATGTTCATGAGGGATATTGGTCTGTAATTTTCTTTTTTTGTGGTGTCTTCATGTGGTTTTGGTATCAGGGTTAGGCTGGCTAAAGCTGAATCTTAAGTTTTTTGGTTGTTATTGTTGTCATTTTTTTGTTTTTAATTATCCTGCCAAGCACAGACCTTGATTCAGTTCCAAAGGATAACATAACATACCAAAAAAAAAAAAAAGTGTCTGCTTCAGGTTAGCTATATTAATTTAGTACCGTCAGATTTTAGATTAATTTCTCCCTACATATGGACCTGTGACAAATTAAATAATTTTGAACAATTCTCAAGAAAACCAGTTTTTCCCAAGGTGTTGCCAGTTGCATGCCAGAGCCCCTTTTCTTCTGTCTGAGTATGTCTCACATTTTGGGACTAGTTTCAGAATTCTGAGAGAAGATCTTTCCCTTCCTATAGCTTGGAACTAAGATCTGTAGTAAGAGGGTGCTGTGGGTTAATGCTTCAAGCTCCTCTCCCACCCCCTCCAAACACACACCTGTGAAAGTTAAAATATTTTTAATATTTTCAAATAGAATTGTTTAAAAAAGGACATGATCTAAAACAAGAAGAGCATGACTGTGGACCTAACAGATCAGATTCACATTGGGTAAGAGGGCAGAACCTACAGCCTATGGGAAGTCCAGGGCCAGAAGAGGCAGAAGAGGCCTACAGAATAAACAAACCAAAATACTCTGCTCACAATGAAGTTTCTGATTTAGCTCAGCTGAGAGAATGGAGCTGAAGTTGGAGTTCCTTTGTCTAGAAAGGAAGACTCAAAAAAATCTGCACCTTCTTCCTGGGGTTGCCTTATACATGAAGCCAGGTGTCCAAGATGGCAAGACAGAACATCTCTCGTAGGACCAACTTCCTACTGGCTTAGTGACTAGATGTGCACTATCCTCCAAATCATGGTGGCCAAAAGGTTTCTGACTGGGGACTCTTGAAGCCAGATGGTGGCAATTGCAAAACCTCCAAACTAGGAGAAGAGAATGCAGAAAGAAAAGGCTCAACTATTTTTTTAAGCATGAGAACTTAGAATATCAGGCTTAGAATGTAAATATTGTGTAATTCAACCATCCTTATGATGCTTGATGTGTGGGAGACAATTCTCCACGGGTCTCTTACTTTTCTGCATGTCTTGTATTAGCAGTTGTCGTATACTATATTATCAAGGATGTTTGAATAAACAAACAGCTTTGGAAGATAAAGATTGTGTCTCCCTCCAGAACAGAGGGAAGTTCTGTTGGCTGTCCGGGATAATAAAAACAATCTCTCCTCCGGAGTAATGTTTCGGCAGGTTTTCTGGCAGCCACTTTAAAAGACTGGAGTTTCCCAAGCTCAGCTTTCCCAGCTGTGAGGCAAACCCCTTGTGTATACAGCATATGCCTGGAGTGTTCGGCATCACCCTTGAGACTTGGGATCGGGGGAGAGGGACAACCAATGTGAACATAAAACTCATGCTGCTGGCTGTGCTGTGAGTAACAGAGTTCTTTGTCTCTGACTTAGGAGTCTCATGTCTTCTGCTAGCATTCATGAAACTGTGACAGGCTAATGTGTTAACTAGCAAGTAGAGTAAAATCTCAGATCCTTCATAGTTCTTGATATGAAACACTCTACATAATGTTGGTACACCTCAATTTCTTTTATTTTGTGTGTTTGTTTTTTGGGAGAGGGATGAAGTTGTGAGAGGTTGTGGCAGACTATGGATTTGCATTCATACAAAGATAAAAAGATGGGCATTTATGAGCCGCACGACTACTGCCTGACTATAAACTACATGCTTACATCATTCTTTTTATGGCATTTTAATTTATTCCCCTCAAAAATTTAATTTTCCTGGTCATTGTAGGTGTATTATCTCTGTCTCTCCAGCAAGGCTGTAAGCTCACATAGGCAAGGATTATTACCTCCTGAGGTCATTCACAATTGTCAGGCCATTTACTCATGTGAATAAAGTATGGACTCTGGGATTAGGATTTGATCTCTACTAAATCCTTGAGTGGAGCCTTGGTGGTGCAGTGGTAAAGAGTTCGACTGCTAACCAAAAGGTCAGCAGTTCAAATCTACTAGCTGCTGCTTGGAAACCCTATGGGGAAATTCTACTCTGTCTTATAGGGTCAGTATGAGTCAGAATCTACTTGACGGCAACTGGTTTGGTTTGATTTTTGGTAAGTCCCTGGGTGGTGCAAACGGTTATGTGCTGGACTATTAGCCAAAAGGTTGGCGGGTCGAACTCACCCAGAGTCGCCTTGGAAGAGACTGGCAATTTGCTTCCAAAAGGTAACAGCCTTGAAAACCCTACAGAGCAGCTCTACTTTGCACACATGGTGTCGCCATGAGTTGGAATCAACAGGATGGCAACCAACAACAACAAATCATTCATTACCTGTGCAGTCCTGGATAAATTAACCTCTGCAAACCTCAGTTCTTCTCAGCTGTCAAAATATGTGTCACAAAACCTGTCCCTCAAGGTTGTTGTGAAATTACACAAGATAATAAAAATTAAGTCCTAGTACAGTGTCCGGCACATACTTGGCCTTAAACAAATAGTAATTAAATATATAAATCCATTACTGAAATACAAATAAAATTGTATTTCTGGCTCTTGCCTTTTAAGTCATGTGCTATTTTCTACTCACTTCTCCCAACTCTCTAAATAGTAATATGTTCATGAGATGAAACCAGAAAGATTATCAAGAATAATTTTAAATTACAAAAGATCACTCTTCGACTCAACAGTACCACTTACAGAGATTTATCTTGAGACAATAAGAAAGGCATGTATGACTTTGTTTATTACACTGTTACTTATTAGCATATAAACAATTAGTAACAACCTAAATGCCTAATAATAAAGAATTATTTAAATCAATCATTGGATAGTTATGCAAAGGAATACTGTGTAGCCATTTAAAAAATTAGTGGTAGAACAACATGGATATTCACTATTAAGTGAAAAAAGGCAGGCTCCAGAACACATATAAATATAATTCCAATTTTGTTTTAAAATGTATATTCATCTAAAAGAAAAATACTAGTTTATTAAAATTTTATACTTGATTAATTTTATATTGTGAACTCTATGTCTTCTAAATTTTCTAAAAAAAAATCTATAACACTTATATTAAGTAAAAAACATATTAAATGTTATAAAAACTAGATAGAAAGAGTATTTAAAAAACCTAAATATGAAGTATGAAGAAAGATATTAAAGATAATTTTTGAATAAATTCAACCAGGGAAAATGATTCCAACAAATAATAGTATTAAAAACTCTTTTTTCAAATCCCAAATCTAAAGTCTCTTAAATTTTAGAACAGAAAACATAAGAAGATATACACCAAAGTTAATTATCTATTGAAGTGTATATTCTTTGTTCTGATGAAGTTGTTTTAAAAATGCATAGTGTATCTGAAATATTGTTAGTAGTTTTACCAAAATCAGGATGCAACTCAACATCTGACCTTCAATTTTCATGCAAATACTCACCTCACTCCCAAACTACACCAGAAAATAAATTTGTTTTCATCTTACCCACTATTGCATTATAAAATTGTTGAGTCAAACTCATCTTGGAGTCAAGATGCTACTTGATTACCTGGCTTTTTCTGTGCTTCCCATGTGTTGGTGAATGTCAATGAATTCCATGAGTTGTTTTTGTAACATCACATCTCTGCCCTCAATTTGCGCAATGAATTTATGCTGTAAAAGATCTGACACTGTTGGACGCTTTTCATAATCTTTGGTCAAGCACCTGCACTGGCAAAAAAGAACATGCAATTATTAGATAAGTTACAGTTTTGAAACTATTATCCATATTCTTAAAAGAAGAAAAAAAAACCTACTCTAACACTAGAGAGCTGTGCTCCACACAAATGTACAGCCTGAAAAGCACTTCTCAAAAAACGTTCAAACTGTGATATGATGAAATGAATGTCTGTGGAAGTGTACACATCTGTGAGTGATTATACTGTAGTGAAACCAACTTTCAACTAACCACAACTTCCACCACTTCCCTAGTCTCCAAGAGAGCATTACTGCACAGTGATAATTAAACTCTGTCTCCACTGCAAAGTCTCTTCCACAGGTCAGTAGCTAAAGATAAACAACCATGAAGTCATTACAGTTTTAATGCTTACCTAAAATTAAAGCAAACTTTTCAATTTCCCTTCATTAAAGCTTTTAAAGTCTTCTCAATTGATCTAGTTCTTCCTAAGGGATAAAACTGCTAATCCATTTGAGAAGGTTAAAGCATTGAGATGTTTAAATGTTGAGTCAATCAGGTTTTGTTTTTCAGGTCATGGATGTGCCAATGCACATAACACCTCTTGAAAGATTCAACCAGAGCATATTCCTGAGAAAGGATAAGGCTAGTGGGAGCACCTGGAACATTATCACAGGAAGAGAATTTAAGCAACCTTGGGACAGCTGGCTTCAAATATTTGGAGGGGAGATTAGACTAGTTCTCAGTGGTCACCAAAACCAAAAAAATAAAATAAAATAAAACCTGCTGCCGTTGAGTCAATTCTGACCCATAACGACTCTAGGATCAGTTAGTAGAATCAAGAGAAATAGACTTCAAGTCAGTATAAGAAAGAACTTTTCAACAGTAAGGTTTATTCAAAAGTGAAATGGGCCTCACTGGGAGGTATAATTGTTGTTATTGGAGATGTTTAACTATTGATCGGATGACAACTCAGTGAACATACTTGAGAAATATTTAAGCTCTGGATATGAGTTTGGGCTAAATAACTTTCAAATACCCTTCCAACCCCGAGATTCTATAGTTCTACAATTATGAGAAAACTGGTCAGAGTTAGGCTGTCTTTTGCAGGTATTAAAACAAAACAAAACAAAAACATGCCTTGGCTTGAGGAAAGATATAAAGACCAAGGATTTATTAGTGGTTACCAGGGGCAGGAGGGAGGGGGAGTCACTGTTTAGGAAGCAGTGAGTTTCTGTTTATGGTGATGGAAAAATGGTTGTGCAACATGTTAATATAATTGATATCACTGAATTGCACACATGAAAAATGCTGAATTGGCAAATGCTGTGTTATATATAATCTTACAAGAATTTAAAAAAAAAAAAATGCTTGCCTTGGCTTGAGCAGTGCATTTTCTAATCAGTATTGCTAATCCTCTAGGACTGATAATTTGGCAATTTACCTTACTGGGTTTAACCAATAAGATACTTCCTGGGATGCTAAAATATGCTAAGAAATAAGGATGATGATGTTTGAAAATAATAAGTGCTCTTAGTTTTCATTTAGTTTAACAGAATGTGTCCATTTCTAACATCTCTGGCAGTTGTATCTATGTAGTCAGTATAGTCGCATATGAGATTATTTCATTTAAATAAAACTTCATCAAGAAGCTCCTGTGTATCAGGCACCCTGCTAGAAACCAGGGTTACAGTTACAAGTAAGACACATTCAGTGCCATGGAGTTGCTTACTGTCTAGGCGGGGAGAGAGACATCTAAACAGGTAAGCTAAGCAAAAGTGGCAGTGTTATTAAAGGAAAAGGAACAAACTACAGTGACAGCAAGGATAGAATACCAACTGCCTGGAGGAGATCAAGAAATGTTTCACAGAAATGAAGCTGGGAAGAACATGTAAAAGTCCCCAAGTTACACTGAGAACCTGCGTGGAAGGATCTGCAGACGTGAGGCATAATTGTGAATCGTGGGGATCACTTCAGAGTTACTACTGATTATCCTAAAAGACCTGTGAAATTTGATTGAAGTTTATTAAATACTCTGTAGAACACTGTGAGGATCCCTGGTGACACAACGGTTAAGTGCTTGGCTGCTAACTGGAAGGTTGGCAGTGGGAACCCACTCAGCAGCACCTTGAGAGAAAGACCTGGCTATCTGCTCCTGTAAAGATGACAGCCTAGGAAACCCTATGGGGCAGTTCTACTCTGTCACATGGGATTGCTATTAGTCAAAAATCGACTCAATGGCATCCAACAACAATAACAAGTGTATAGTGTGTGTGCTTAGTGATGTTTGTTAAATGATCACAGGCAAAAACTAAAGATAGCAAGTTATCAATCCTTGTTGTTAGGTTTCCACAAATTCTTAAATCTAAGTCTCTTGTCTTGAGACAAATAAACAGATATCTTTGGCAGGAAAACCAAAGATAGCAATATGTATGAGTACAGCTGGTTCCTCTTCTTTGTCTTCCTTTTGACATTTTCTGGGTAAAGTTTGACACACCAAATCTTCTCTCTTTCCCATTTACAACCTGGGATCATCCCTTACCTTATTTGTTTAATGCAAAGATATAGTAAAGATTGTGGAAAAAAGGTTTGCGGGACAGATATTTTAAAATGTTTGACTTCTAGCTTTGGAGGCCTCTACTTGTGCTAAATATCTGTCAAATTAAAAATGTTAACTGAATTTCAAATATGTAAGCATTTTATAAATATGATGATCTGATTCACTAAATATAATTTATGGTAATGAAAATCTGTGATGTAGATAAATGAAGGGTTAAACAACTGTCTAAATAGATCATGTGTAATCAGTAAGACATGTTGAGTAGGTAGCTGCAAAAGGCAGGTGGACAGAACATGTTCATGGAAAATGAAGGGTCTGCAAAAGTTTTTTTTTTTTGTGTTCAGTTGCTATGGAGCTGATTCCAGTTCATTGCAATCCAAGTGTGTCAGAGTAGAACTGTGCTCCTTAGGGTTTTCAATGGCTGGTTTTTTCAGACGTAGGTTGCGAGACCTTTCTTCGAAGGCACCTCTGAGTGGACTCTAACCTCCAACCTTTCTGTTAGCAGTCAAGCTTGTTAACTGTTTGCACCACCCAGGGACTCTACCCAGAAGTACAGCTATCAACAAATGAATAAACATAACCCTAAATCACTATTTGAACAATGATGAACTTTTAGAAGACAATAAAAATGCTTGTTTTGAAGAAAATAATGGAAAGCTCTGAGGTGATACAACAGATAAGAATACAAGAGGAGATTCAAAAGCAGGAAGGTATTGTAAAGGACACATTTCAAGGTAATAGCAAGGTATCTCTTTGTTTTTTTTTTAAGACACTATTGTTACTCACTTGCTAATGAAGTCATTGAATTCAGCTGACCATAGCTCGGGCTTCCTTAGTTTTGGGGGTGGATTCCTAGAAAAACAAAAATCAGGGCTGGCTAGTGCACTTTGATCAGTCAGGGCCCAATGGGAGGTGGAGCTAGATAAGACCAATAATGCCAGACTGCAGTCACAGGTTTTGGAACTATAATCAAGCATTGCTATCATTTTTCAATTCAAAGAGAGATAATTAGTTATTAATCATCCTTTGTATAAAATGACAGGCCCCTTGTTTCTCTGAAAGCACTGAATAGATGGCCCAATTTTTCCAACTGTTATTTTGTTTTTCAAAAATTTTCTGCTTTTATCTGACAGCCCTAGGGAAAGACATCAATACTTAGCAGAACAGAAACAAGTTCTGCAAAAGTCTCTGAGGAATATATGTTACTGGTGATTTAGAAATAATATTTGGAATCATTATTCCCTGACCTTGAACATGGAGAACAGTGACCCAGCTGGGGCTGGGCCCTCACCGACTCTCAGAGACACATCAACTGGGCCCTGAGATAGACAATAGATGGGACAATCTCAGAAATTATCTTAAGGAAGTTTTCACAAAAGCCCATCAAACAGAACACAAAAGACTTTCCATTCTTACCTTTTTCTATTAAATTTAGTGACTAGAAATTTGTTGGACCAATGAAGACCCTCCTGACTTTTGTAACCGAAACCCGAACCAATGATTGTTAAGAAAGATGATTTAAAATGTAAGATTACAATTTCTAGCCAATCAGTGAAAAAGTGACGCTTTCAATGATTCTACCCATTTTGTGATGTTGATATATACTGATGATTCTGTAACCTTCCTTGGATTCAGGCAGACATTCTAGCTCTTGCAGCATACTTGTCAGCTTCCCACTTTTGTCCTTTTGAACATATGCCAAATAAAACTTTCTTTTTACTTTACTAAACTTTGTGATGTTTTTCCCCTACAACACATGGCAAGAAGGAGTGCTACAAAAGTAAGGAACTGGAAAATACTATTAGCAATAAAGCTCTGAATGTCACTTTAAAGATTTTGTTATTAATTCCTTTCATTTTAAGCCTAACAAATCTTGTCATTTTTTTGGTACGTTCTTGAATACAAAAAAACATAGCTTGAAAGTTCCAACTCTGTAATCAAGCAACATTGATCAACCATGATGTTGAATTTGCTGAAGGGCTGCTTTATGTTAATTCTAACAGCTCTTGGTTTTCATTAGTGGAATGGAAAGACTTTGCCTTCAGTTCTGTATTACTCCTTAAATAGCTTACAACGAAATTAATGTACAGTTTGTACAGGCTCATTAAAGAAAACTGCAGCTACTCATCTACCATAGATCACCCCCTAATCCTCATTTTACAATCCTTAGGACTATTTGAACATTGCTGATTTGCACATTAAAAGAAGTAATTCTTTTTGCCAACATTTGTTTTGTTTCTTGTCCTCCCGAAAATTTTCTTTGTTAGAAATTTACTGGCTTGTTTTTAGTAGAACAAAGTTCTGATGATTTCAGACCACTTAGATCTGGGTAGCTTTTCATACACTTTTATTTCTAATTATTTCTACAGTTAGTATGCTCAGAATTCTATTTTAGAGAGATACTGGTGGCAGAAATACTGAGAAATAGCTAAGGTGATGCAGTTTCCAGAAGCACTTTGCTCATAGGTACACTATTTAGCAATGGTGTCATCCCTCCTCCACGTGGCGTCATCACCAAGAGTAATAATAACATTAGGCCAAATATGGGGGTTGAAGCTACAACTAAAATGGCCCAGAAAGTAAAGCGTTTCATCTTACACAGAGAATAACAGTAGGAGTTAGGAAATACAGATTTTTTTTCCTGTTTTCCTCAAATTTAATGAAATATCTTAGACTTGGACAGAGCAGATTTTCCTTTTTTTTCTGTAATCTTTGTTCCCCCACTTACAAAATGGGCAGCATATTTTATAAACAGTAAGACCGAGATATAGACTGAAATTGTTATGTAAAAGATGATAAATATCTAAGGTATTATAATTTGAAGCCAATAGACAGGACAAGAAATTCAAAGGTAAAATTAAATCCTAGTTCAAATGCTTCAGCTCCATACTAATTTAATTACATAATTAAATATCAAAATAGATTCATTCTAAAATGAATATAGCATATTAACATTATTTCTTTAGGACTAGAATACTCCCCCTCCAGGGCTTTCTACATAATGATTCTGTGTTCGCCAGCCCAAATCCTGAAGGTCTTCACATGATGCACCTATAATAAAGATAGGAGTCTTCTCACATCAGCTTTCTGAAATAACTAGAAACTAACCAAAATATACATGAAGTTTAAGGTACAGGTAGTCTCCAACTTATGACATATTCGAGTTACTACAACCTGCATTTACAACTGCATTTTTTTAATTTTTATTTTCGTACATCTTATTGTTAGAAATATGTACTACATACAATGTTGCAGTGCATAAATTTGCTGTTGTTTTGAGTCGGAATTTGACTCAACGGCAATGGATTGGGTTGGTTAATCATTGTCATACCAACCCCCAAAGATAAACAAAGATCAAATTTACAAAGATACTGATAATAAAAGGCAATAACAATGAAAACTAAAAAAAAAAAGAAATGAAGTATTCAACTTTGTGAGAACCGACTTACGACAGAGGCATCAGAACGGAACCCCGTTGTAAGTCAGGGACTACCTGTAATCAGTAATAGGCTAAGTAGAGGAAAGTTTATTAAAGGGGAGGAGTTTATATAAATAGTAAGGTGCTTTCATCACTCAAAGAGGTGATTCTTCTCTGTTTATTGTTTTATATTAATACACTCAACATAGCAACACATTTAAAATCATTAATACATTTTATTTATAATCATTGAAATGATATTTTAATTTTAAAGTTCAGAACAAAGAGAAGTCTTAGCAAGTAATAAAAAATTACTAGACTGGTAGAGTGAAGCAAAGAAAATCACAGTTGCATTGAATGTGGGCCAGTGCACTTAAATGCCTCATTTGGAAGTGGATGAAAAGTTGGATGAACTCCTATTTTCTGAGATCAAATCTTGGTAAAAGGGAGCAAGACACCAATTATCAAGAGAAACCTCTTTTACTTTGACTAGCGAAATGAAATTATTGAACAAATACCATGTCTTCAAAGAAGCAGAAAGATATACCAGGCCACTCTGCTCCCACCTTGCAGGAATATATCTGAATATTTCCATGATGAGCATGATGAGAACTCAGTGGCCACAGGGAGAAAGACTAGGCTGCAGAGGTTGTACCAACCAAATACTAGTCCACTGACCTTGGTATTTTGAAGAGTGCTCTCATGGGATGCAGATCTGCAAGTGGGGGATCTCCATCCCCCAGCTCAATGGCTGTGATACCCAGGGACCATGTGTCACATCTGGCATCATATGTGGTGTCCAGTTGCTGCTCACATGCAATCACCTAGTAGAAAATGGGGGGAGGGGCGAAGCAAACTCAATCACCAAGTAGAAAATAGGGGGGTGGGAAGCAAAGCTGTTGACTTTCATAAGAACATGCAAAATGCCTAGAAAAATATGCATGTGTTTAAAATGGTGAAGTTTGGTAGCTACAAGTAAAGACAGTAACTTGAGAGAATAAAAAATCAAATTATTATTACTTTGAGAACAGAGACTCTTTCAGCAGGATTGCAAATATAAGGGAAGAAGCCCATGAAAAAGATTTTGAAAATGCAAAACAGGAAGGGGGAAGAAACAGTGTCCCAAATGGAAAGGATTGGGATCAAATGCATAGCTAAAGATTGTACGATGGTAGTCACTCAATAAACATTTGATGAGTGAATGGAGATGTTCACCTTTGCAAGGATAAAGAATATATCTTTAAAGAATTAAAACGGAAGGAAGTAAAAAAGAATATGCTGAAGGCAGTCTAGTTAAATGGCCTTGATCTTTTCTGGCAAATAAAAGCCAAGGGTACCCAAGGGAGGAATCAGACAAGTTTGGAGGAATGCAAAACAGGTTTAAACCATTAATAAAACAAAGTAAACTCAATAAAAGTAAATGTTGTTAAGGATTTACCAACAGCTTATCTGGAGCCTCGATAAACTGTAAAATTGCAACCAATTTTTAAAAAATGTCATGAATCAAAGAATGTAATTGAGAAACAAGAAAAAAGGGGAAGTTCTTTTTTGCAATATTATGAAATAGCATTTACATAAAAGAATTATCACATAGTTACTTCACAATTTGTTTCTAAGTGTATAGATATAAATACAGATGGACTGTGAACGATAATTTTAAAATCAGTGACCACACAAATAAAATTGAATTTTACATTTTAAAAACCACTTTTTACATTTTTTTAATTTTATATTTTGTGAATGCTAACCCACCAGGAAAATAAAATTATGATTTTGGGGATGATGGTGGATTAGAGTTGCATCATTAACTATAGTACTGTGAAATAATACATAAAGTAAAAGGAATCAAAGGCCTTGTCTGAAACAGTATTTCATCTTTCTCACTCCAATTAACATCAGAATTAAAACATTAAAAAAAATCTCTTTGTTAGCACATTGGAGTTATTTGGTTACATTTACACATATGTCATCCATGAATGGTTTCTTTTTTTATACATGAATACATAAACCATTATTCATACCTCACACCAATAGAAATGGGGTCATACAGTTTAAGCATAAACACATGAGTGTGACTGAAAAAATAAAAAGAAGGCTAGGATAAACACAAAAGGATAAACAGTTACCTCTAGGTATGAAGCAAGAAGATGGGATAAAGGAAGAGCATAAGTATTGGGGACTTTCTGGTTCTGGGCTGTGTAGCAAGTTCTCGGGCACATAAACAAGCAAGAAGGCCATGAACCAAACCAATTCCAGGCAACCAATGGCCAATAATAAGTAAATACGTTAATAAATTATATACATAGTTGTATATACAGATAGATAAACAAAGAATATATTCTCCCAACTTGGAATTAGTGTGATGGAAGTATCATCTTACCTTGTGTTTCTTGTCATTTTTTCCTACCAAAATATTTTTAATGTCACAGGAGAGGGAACAGTTATGCTGGAATCAGAGAGCGTAGTGTGAAGTACCTACAGCAAGCATAAGACTCTCAATTTTATATTAAAAATTTATGTGATGAATATTCATTGAAAACCCTATGATACAGTTCTACTCTGCACGCATAGGGTGGTCATGAGTAGGAATTGACTCGATGGCAAATAACAACAACACTGCATTATTCATAATAGCCAGAAATTAGAAATAACCCACATGTCTATCAACTGATGAACGAATAAATAAACTGAGGTCTATCCATACAATGCAATATCATTCATCATAAAAAGGAATGAAGTACTGATACATGGCACCACATGGATGAACCTCTAAAACAGTATGCTGAGTGAAAGAAGCCAGTCACAAATGGTCACATATTGTATGATTCCATTTATATAAAATGACCACGATAGGCAAATCTATACAGAAAAAGAAGTAGATTAGTGGTTTCCTAGTATAGGGAGGTGGCAGTTCGAATCCACCAGCGCTCCTTGGAAACCCTTTGGGGCAGTTCTGCTCTGTCCTGTAGGGTCGCTATGAGTCGTATTCCATTACACTGTAATGGGTTGGGTTAGTGTAGCTGGGAGGAGCCCTGGGGGCGCACTAGGCTGCTAACCAAAAGGTCGGTGGTTCAACCCACCAGCTGCTCTGTAGCAAAAAGATGTGGCAGTTGGCATCCGTAAAGATTACAGCCTTGGAAACCTTGTTGGGCAGTTCTACTCTGTCCTATTGGGTTGCTGTGAGTTGGAATCAACTCAGTGGCAAGGGGTTTGGTTTTAGTGTAGGGGAGATTCAGGTAGGATGAGGAGTGACTGCTAATGGGTACCGGGTTTCTTTTAGGGGGAACAAAAATGTTCTAAAATTAGATTGTGGTTACAGCTGTATAACTGTGCATATGCAATGAAAATCATTAGATTGTATATTTTAAATGAGTGAATTTTATGGTATGTATATCTCAATAAATCTTAAAAATAAAATAATATTAATTTTCTATTCTGTTGTATATCTTTGTCTGCCTTGGTATAAAAATAACTTTTTTTGCCTCACCAATTTTTTTTTTCTAGTAAAATTACTGCTTCAGGATAATGCATCATTTTATGGCTTTATACATGTAGTCCAGGAATATATTCCCATAGACATGGGTGAATTTACGTCTCTGTTTGCCTGGGAAAGTCTTAGTTTACACTAGTTGTCCTAGAAAAAAAAAAAAATCTGTTGCCATCAAGTCGATTCCAATTCATGCGACCCTATAGGACAGAGTAGAATTGCCTCCTGGGGTTTCCAAGGAGCAGCTGGTGGATTCGAACTGCGGACCTTTTGATTCAGCAGCCAACGCTTAACCACTGCACCAGCTGTCCTAGTATAGGGTCGCTATGAGTCAGAATCGACTTGATGGCAAGGGGCTTGATTTTTGGTTTTCACTCTCCAGTGTCCTGGTTTGTACAATAAACTGTATGGTCACCTATCACAGTCACTATTTCCCTTGTCCTTTTCATCCTGGCACATGTGTACTCCAGTTTGGGAAGGATGGCTTTATGTAACCAACATAAAATATCTTTGATCCAAAATTTAATTAAACAATTCCCAAATAAAGTATTTCATTTTTCAACTGATGATTGCTTTGGAGAAGCTTGTCCCTAAGGCCTTGAATTATGGTGACTATATATATGTATTTTACCTTACTGCTTTCTAATTTTTAGAAACTTTCCATTAGCAACATTAGATGGTATATTAACCACCTCTTCATTAACTAGATAGCTGGTTATTCAAAATACACTCTTCTTCAACAATCACAGATAATGGAAGTTTACCGAAATTTTCCCAACCATTCACATTGGAAAATGCTTATTATTAGAGATGAACATAGTATGCACAAAATCTAGAACAAATATTTACATGACAGCTTGAAAAGACTGCAATGAACCTTTTTTCTTTTATATAATATCCATTATTTTGCTAAGCAGCAAAGCACTTTCAAACCCTATTTGTGCTACAGTAGAGTTATTAATAATAAAAAATGACTTATCTGAAAAATGATTGTCTAGTAATTATATATTAAGGAATGTCAATTTTAATTATTAACTCATATAATAGTCTGGTAGTTAAATCTTAGATAGATAAAAATATTTCCCTTTACTCATAGATTAAAGAGTTCCAAGATCCATTAATCAAAACTGCTTTTACTAAATGGAAAACTTAAATATATAATAATGGCTTGCTGTTACTGCAAATTAACATATGGAAATATAAAGCTGGAATACGTAGCATTTATATATTTTTATTAATATATGCAAAACAAATGCAAAAATTTGGAACTATAAATACATTTTTATTAACTTCTTATTTATGAACATTTTCATAAGCTTTTAGAATAGAAGCAATATACAAGAACAAACTCTAAAGAAACTCATTTGAGATTCCCTTATTAAATGTTGTTCTTATATGAATATACTTTCTATTTTTATTCTACGATGTACTCCCTGTTAAAATTTTTTTAATCCATTGGATTTTTAGAAAAGCTTTTTAAGATAATTTATTCTCTCTCTCTGTTTTATATTAAGTTTACATTTTAACTTTTTGTATACACAATAATTGAATTAGTATTTAAACAGTACATCAAGATTTAATCCCCAAACAAATTTAATTCCGTGATTTTGTAATACTAATAATGAATTTGATTTATTCCTCCTCCCTCCACTCCCTAGAAAATTGTAGATAAATAGCAGAGCTTTTTCCAAAGGTTGCAAAGAGCATTTTCAAAAATAAGTGTTCTTTACTAAAAAACATAATTAAAAAGATTGAAGGCATTAATAGCGACTATGCAGAGAAGATGCCACTCTAGAAAAATTTTTCCCTAACTATAGCTTCCCAAAGGTAATGGTGAAAAGAATCTACTGAAGCTGAGCATATCCCCCAGGACTACAGACTCAACATGGGAACCTGCCATAAAGCTTAACGAACCTGAAGGTTAGGGGATCTCATAATATTTCTAATTTAAAAACAGAATATAAATATCATTAACATAGATACAGTTTAATGAAAAATTAAGGATGTAAGTAACTTCTCTTTACCTCATCTGGTTTACTCATTCATTCAATCTTTCATTTATTCATAAATTCATTCACAGCCTACTTATTGAACACATCCTATATCCCTCCTCACACATGCAAAAATCTTACAAGAAAATAGCACAGCTGACATTTTCTTCTAGTAGATCCCAAAACACACATAAAGATAGAGTCAGCATGTAAAGGAAAGTCAAAAAAGATACAAAATTACATTTGTCTCCCTCAACACTCTATGTGAGGTAGTTCAGCATATGAAAATCAGTCAATGTAATGCATATTAACAGAGGGAAGTGAAAAAACCACATGATAATCTCAACTGATTGAGAAAAAGCATGTGACAAAATTCAACACTCTTTCATGATCTAAAAAAAGCCTCTAAAAACTAGAAATGGAAGGGAATTTCCCTAATATGCTAAAGGAAATTTATGAAAAACCCACAGCTAACATCATACACAGTGATAAAAGACTGAAAGCCTTCCCTCTAAGATCAGAAACAAGACAGGGTGCCTCCTCTCACCACTGCTATTCAACATTGTATGGGAACTTCAAGCCAGAACAATTATGCAAGAAAAATAAATAAAAGGCATCCAAACCAGAAAGGAAAAAGTTAAACTATCTCTATTTGCATATGACATGATCTTATATGTAGACAATCCAAAGAATCCACAAGAAACTACTAGAGCTAATAAATGAATTCAGCAAAGTTGCATGGTACAAGATCAACATACAAAAATCAGTGGTGCTTCTATACACCAGGAATGAGCAATCAGAAAAGCAAATAAGGAAAACAATTCCACTTACAATAGCATTCAAAAGAATCAAATGCCTAGGAATAAATTTAACCAAGAAGGTGAAAGACTTGTACCCTGGAAACTATAAAACATAGCTGAACAAAATTTGAAAAGACCTAAATAAACGCAAATATATCTTGTGTTCATGGATCGGAAGACTTAACATTGTTAATATGTCAATACCTCCCAACTCGATCTACAGATTCAATGCAATCCCTGTTAAAAATTCCAATAGGCTTTTTTACAGAAATGGAAAAGTTGGTACTCAGATTCATATGGAATTATAAAGGGCCCCTAATAGCCAAAACAAACTTGAAAAAGAAGAACAAAATTGGTGGACTTACATTTCCTCATTTCAAAACTTACTACAAAGCTATAGTAGTCAAAACCATGTGGTACTGGCATAAGGACAGATATATAGACCAATGGAATAGAATTGAGAGTCTAGAAATAAATTCATACATCTATGACCAATTAATTTTCAACAAGGCTAATAAGACCATTTGATGAGGAAAGAAGAACCTCTTCAATGAATGGGTCTAGGACAACTGGATTTCCACATGGAAAATAATGAAGTTAGACCCCTACCTCATACCATATGCAAAAATCAACTCAGAATGGATCAATGACCTAAATATAAGAGCTAAAACCATAAAACTCCTAGAAGAAAACATAGGGATAAATCTTCATAACTTTCGATTTGGCAAGGATTCTTAGACATGACACCAAAAGCATGAGCAACAAAAGAAAAAAATAGATAAAATGGACTTTATGAAAATTAAAAAAATTATGCATCAAAGAATACTATAAAGGAAGTGAAAACAGAGTCCACAGAATGGGAGAAAATAGTTGCAAATCATATATTTGTCAAGAAAATGTAAACAACTCTTAAGACTTAACAACAAAAATACGGACAACCCAGTTAAAAAATAGGCAAACGACTTAATAAACATTTCTTCAAAGAAGATATATAAATGTCCAACAGGCACACAAAAAGATGCTTAATATCACTATCCATTAGGGATCTGGACCAAAAGCATAAGGTACCACTTCACAACCACTATAATAGCTATGATTAAAAAAAAAAAAAGAAAATAACAAGTATTGGGTATGAGGAAATTGAAACCCAAGTACATTGCTGGTGGGAATGTAAAATGGTTCAGCTGCTGTGGGAAACAGTTTAGTGGTTTCTCAAAAAGTTAAACATAGAATTACCATATGACCCAGCAATTCCACTAGTACATATATAAGTGAAATAACTTTAAATAGGTACTCAACTAAGTACATGTGCGTGCGTATGTATAGCAGTACTATTCACAATAGTCAACTGGTAGAAACAATCCAAATGTCCATCAGTGGATGAATGGATAAAGAAATTGTGATACGATGGAATATTATTCAGTCATAAAAAGAAATGAAATACTGATAAATGCTACAATGTGGATGAACCTCCAAAACATTATGCTAAGTGACAGAAGCCAGATACAAAAAAGCCCCATATTATATGATTCCATTTATATGAAATATCCAGAATAGGGAAATCCATTGAGACAGAACGTAAATTGGTGGTTGCCAAGGTCTGGCAGGGGGTGGGCGGAGATGAGAGAAACTGCTTAATGTGTAAGAGGTTGTACTTTGGAGTGATGGAAATGTTTGGGAACTAGATATAGGTGGTGGTTGTACAACATTGTGAATGTGATAAACGTCACTGAATTGTACCCTTTAAAATGGTTAATTTTATGCTATGTGATTTTCTCCTCAAAACGTTATTGAGAAAAAAAACCAAAAACTCTCTATCTGACCTCAGGAGCCATCCAAAATGGTGTTCCTACTGATGTATTCCGACGGTGCCAGGTGCTGGTGAGCTGTGCAGACACACCTGAAAAGGAGAGACGGGATTTAACTTCTTCAATTAATCATTCATTTTAAGATATTCCAATTGCAATGAATTTTCTTACAAATTAATATTAAAATTAATTTTAACTGAAAGCTGCCACCAAACTTGAACTTGACATTAAAGAATTCTAAATCAGGATTATCTGCATAGTCAAAATAGAGAATGGTCCTCTTATTTTTTTTTTCTCATATTCAAATCTTATGCATCCATTAAGCCCCACTTAGAGTCTTAGTTTTACCATGCTGACTTGTGATCTTTTCCTGATCACTTTGACTTCTGTTTCCTTTGATCTGCATTTTCAACTATTTTTCTCTATTACATGTTTTGGCATGCAATTGTTATTTAAATGTCATGTCCCTCATCTGCCCCCAGTAATAAATTCCAGTGAGTCTGAGAATGTATTATGTAGTGTTATGCACAGAGTACATGACTTGTGAAAGTGAATAAAATTATTTCCATCTATCAACCTTGGACAAATAACATCCGACTGAAAGTTTAAAATTAATTACATCTATTTACTCCAGTAAAGTGCTCGGCTGTTAACCAAAAGGTTGGCAGTTCGAATCCACCCAGAGGCTCCACAAGAGAAAGACCTGGCATTCTGCTGCTGTAAAGATTACAGCCTAGAAATCCCTATCGGGCAGTTCTACTATGTCACATGCAGTTGCTATGAGTAGGAATCAACATTTACACCAAAAACACCTGGTGATCTACTTCCATAAAGCCAGCCATCGAAAACCCTATGAAGCATTCTACTATGATGTATATGGGGTCTCCATGAGTCAGAACTGACTTGAGGGCAACTGGTTTGATGTTTTGGTTTATTTAAATCACCCTACTAATAGAATTAGTTCATTTCCTTTAGGAAGATAATGGAGAGAGGGGCTATGATGAAAGTGTAACCAAATATTTCAGTTATGTGATCCCATTAATTCCACCCGATTAGACAAAATCATAACAGACCCTTAAGAGAATTTGGAGCATGGTCTCTTTTCTCACTTTACACACCAGTGCTCCTCATGCAGCAGGGCCCTGGCTCCCTCTGGCTGTGCAGTGCTCCTAGCCTTGACCTGCTCTGGACTTAGTGGGTTACACCCAAATCATGGGCTGTCATTATCTAACTTCCCTGCTACACAGTGTACCTCCCAGGTATCACATTTCTTTTAGGTTCTGGCTGCTTATCTTCTAAACCAAATAGATCGAAAGCACTAGTTGAGATTTAAAATGAAGTACATTTGATTCTTCCAAGATGGCATTTGACTTTTGTCACGAAATTCAAAGTCCTGATTCGATTGCACGGATATTTCACTGGTGGAAATATACTTAGGCAGAGGGGTGGGGAGTGTCTTTTGGTGCCATTAACTGCATCCGTTAGTGATCTACTTTACCTATGCATAAATCCTATCCCAAACAGAATCTTAATCTATGCCCTTCAAATTTTGACCTTTAAAAACATTCATTATTTGACAGGAAAAAAAAAATCCTCACTGAATCATTTTTCATAATATAAAGATTATATAATCTATGCTTGAAAATCATCCTTAAGTATTTTCTAACAAATATATGAAGAAAGGGAATCACTTGATATCAGTTTTCTCCAATATATATGCCCTGCCTCTACTCTAAGCATTCTACCTTTCAGAAAAATTAAGTTTAAATCTGAACATTCTATCTTGTCTTTCTATGAATCAAAGGTATAAATGATTAAGATTAGATTTTGTGATAGTATCAGAGTACTATAATTTATTTATATACATGAGAAAAGCAAATGGATTTTAAAAGAAAATTTAATTTAAAATTAGTTTATTCTAAGGATTTCTGATTATTTATGAAAAAAATTATAAATTATATTTGACCACTGGTGCGTATTTTTGTTTCAATGTTATAGATAGTATAGTATAAGAATTCAAACGTCATTTAACTGAAATGCAAAGCGAAGAAAAAAAAAACACAATCAAGTGAAAAATCAAAAGTTTTTGTTCCTGGCCAGAACGTGACATTTGAAACTAATCATTTGACACTTTCTTTTTTTTTTTTGGGGGGGGGGTCTCTTTCCAGATATGAAGGAAAGATTATGTCATTAACATTGGCATTTTTCAGCAAGTAGTCATGTCGTGGTGTCTGAATTTATAGACATGGATAGATGGAAAGGACCTTCCCTTCACTCTCCACAATAGAGGAAAACAGGAAATATATATAAAGGATGCTGCACAAAGTTTTGTAGGGGTATGCCATGTGACCCAAGATAGACCATTGAGCTCTTTCTTGGAAATGTAAATCTTGAGTGGAGACACTCAGGGAGAGAAGGTAACTAGAGCTGAGTTAACCAATGGCAGGGCCTACAGCTTAGTCCAAGAGATGCTACTCTTGAAGTCAAGGGCTGTCATAGCTCTGTTCTGAGCAGGCCAAATTACTCACCTTCTCCCTTGATTATGTGAGCCAGCCAGCGTCCTTTTCAGTATCCATGCCTAAGTTGGTCAGAGTTAGTTTCCATTCCTTATAACCAAGGAACCCTGACCAATACAAGAGCCCAGTGATTTTTACATATAAAAGAGCAAATTAAAAAGTGTAGTAGTCAATAATAGGTTTACAAACCCCAAGAGTCATTGGGGCCGTGGTGGTTCAGTAGTAGAATTCTCACCTTACATATGGGGAACCTAGGTTCAATTCCAGGCCAATGCACCTCATGCACAGCCACCACCAGTCTGTCAGTGGGGAGTGCATGTTGCTATGATGCTGAACAGGTTTTAGCAGAGCTTCCAGACTAAAACAGATTAGGAAGAAAGGCCTGGTGATCTACTTCTGAAAATCAGACAATAAAAACCCTGTGGATCACAATGATCCACAACTGATCATTTCATTCCATTGTGCATGGGGTCACCATAAGTCAGGGACCAACTCAATAGCAGCGAACTACAACAAGAGTCATTAAACTCTATATTAATTAGAGATTGTATTATATTAATATTAATATGAGATTAAGCATTTTCTAAGGCAAATATTTTGCCTCCAAGCTTTTCAATCATACCTCCCAAACAGTAAGAAATTTTTGAGATATAGTTTCTACACATTTACTAGCATATTAACACATACATTATAAAACATATTCATGTAGATCATTTTAAAGGATAAAATTTTAAAAATAATTGTAAAAGAGGTTATGAATATTTCTTCCTGCACTTGTACGATGTCTTGCACACATTCTGGCACTGGCAGGCCCCATTTCAAGGACCAATGGCCTAACGTGAGCTGAGATAATGAATTACACAACTTTAGAGTTTCATATATCGTTGGATGTTTATTGGGATCTTGCAAAAAGAACTTTTTCTACCCGGTTCTGGGAGGAGTAATCTATATGAAAACCAGGAATATTCAGCCAGAATGTGAAGAAGGAAAAACACAAAGTCCCAAAATAAAAAGGGAAAAATGCAACTAGGTAGAGTAAGAAGCCCTTGAATTTGAGATGGTCTCCATGAGTCAATAAACTCGATGACAATGAGTTTTTTTTGGTTACCTGATTATCACGTTAAGTCATATTAAAAACAGTACACATGCCCAATTATGAAAGAATGACAGAGGAAGGAATTTACTGAATTTCATGTTTTTTGAGTGCTTATACAATGTCTGTTGAAACTCTAGATAATTTTACCAACCCAACCACTTAGCCTCAGAGCTGGAAGGTAATTTAAAGGTCATGAAGCCCACCTTGTTCATTTTCAAGTTAGTAAAGTTAAGCTGGAGAGATCAACCAACTTTCCTGAGGACAAATGGCACTCTTAGTATAAATTCTCACAAGAAAAGCAGGTAAGAAGGTAGGAATACTAAAATGTAAAATATGATTAACATAAATTACTTTAAAAAGCAACAGGGATTCAAAGAATGGATTCAAGAGCCCTAGGAAATAAAGAAGATTAGGAAAATCATCTTGTGCAGACAATAAGTAAGGGAATAAGTCACCAAAGTAAACAGTTACATAAGCATCTCAAGGGAGAAGATGTGGAAGGGTGGAAAATTCCAGGCAGAAAGTCGGGATAGTGAGAGGATACGGAAAGGAACAGGAGGCCAAAAAGAGATTAGGGCAGCACAGAGAACAGGCTAGAAGGGAGGGCAATAATCCAAAAGAGAAGGGAGGAGAGCAGGGCTTTTTAAAAGTCAAAGCCACAGGAACATTAAGGCAGTCTATGTTAAGCCTTCTGCTTTGATTATATTGCTGGGGAAATTTCACACCATTTTAGGCCCATCTACTAAGGCATCTAGGACTGTTTGGTGCCTGTACAGCAACCCTGTTCCCTATCGCATGCATCTTATTTCTAGAAGAAACCGTGCAGACTTCAAACTTTCGGTCAAGAGATCACCTAAGATCTTAGGGAGGCAGCAGAAGCATCAAATACAGTTGATCCTCATTATTCAGATTATGTATTTATTAATTCTCTTACTTGCTAAAATTTATTTGTAATTCCAAAATCAATAAAACCAGAAAAATCAGTTGCTGTCCAGTGATTTCCAACTCATGATGATCCCGTGTGTGTTAGAACTGTGCTCGGTAGGGTTTTCAATGGCTGATTTTTCAGGACTAGATCACTAAACCTTTGTTCTGTGGCACCTCTGGATAGACTCTAACTGAACCTCCAACATTTTAGTTAGCAGCTTGAGTGCATTAACCATTTGCACAACACAGGGACTCCCCAGAATCAATACTTGTAGCATGTTCATGGTCATTCACAGACATATGCAGAGCAATGAAAATTTTGAATCTTACAACATGCACATTCCCAGCAAAGGTCGAACAGGCGACACTCTGTCTTCTTGTTTCAGCTCTCATACAGTAAACAAGTGTCCTTTTCACAGTCTACTTATTACTACATTTTTGCATTTTAGTTGGTGATTTCACAGTTTAAAATGGCCCTCAAACCTAGTGCTGAAGTGCTGTCTAGTGTTCGTAAGTTCAAGAAGGTTGTGATGTGCCTTACAGAGAAAATATG